GGAGACCGAAACGTGTTGATCTCGTCTGCTGCTTTACCAGGAAATAATATTAAATTATCAGTGGATTTCTGTGATATGATTGTGCTTACTGTTTATTGAACTAATCTTGATGAGCTATGGATGCAATAGAACATATCTACTATTTCCCGCAAAAAACACCATCATAAGATGTTAACAAATATGGATCTCTAAAACTAATGAAGCTGTCACGACGACCGTCGTTTCGTCAGTTGTTGGCTTTCTTAGTCTCATCTATAACATGAACATAACAAATGAATTAGTTTTATACATTTGTGAATACTGAAAAAAATACCATTGTAACATCTCATTGTATTTGGGGCTAAGCTCGAAGACAAAAATTTCGTAATCAATAAGATGGCGTGGCAGACATTATGTTGTTTTGTAGAGTTAACTGTTCCCGCCGTATGATTTTGATGGGGGCCATCTCCGAATTTCAGACCAATCAGACCAGTAGAATAGCATGTAAAATATCAAAATGATTAGTTAAAGCACTGATGGGAAACAAATGCTGAAATTGTCGACAATTTTCTCAAAAGACTTCTAATATTATTTTTTTTATTATTTTGACCATATATGCTACATGCTAAATGTTGTTGGCAAATGAGTTGATCGGTTAATCGCATATCCTAAAATATTGTCACTTTTGTCAAAAAACTATTTTATGTTTTCGTAAAACGCTTCTAGTATACATTTTACATGGCAAGATGAATTTTTTTTATCATGGATTTTTGTTTTCTTCTTTGAGATGTTTAAGAGACGCAACATATACTATATGACAAATGTTCTATTGATTTGAAATAATTTTCTTAGATCCAAAATTGAGATCAATATGTTCATTGGCAAGCAATGTCCTAGCGTTGATTGCCGATTAAGGGGAAAGAATGATGGCGCTAGATGTGATGTGGTCGATACTGATTTTATTGGAAAATGTTGTTGTTTATGTCTAAAAATAGCTCGTCTACACTTTCACAAAATCCTGACAAAATAGAAGAAACAAATACATCAATTATCATACAATAATAAGAGAGGCCTAGTCTTTTTACTGATGTACGGGAGAATAGAACTTACTTCTTGTCAGTTACTTTCCAGCTTTCACCAAATTCAATAGCGCTCTTGGTAATAGTACCATCAGGTTTCTGAAAGTCATTGCGGGGATCATCATCTGCATTACCCATCAGACCGCATAGCTTACCGCTGTAAAAAGAGCCAGACAAGGATACATCTAACACGTGCTTTCTCAAAGTCCATTTAAGAGAGAATGTCGTGTCCTTTGAAGTGAAATGAAGTTTAATATCCTTCTCTTCTTCCTGGACTGTTATAACTTTTGCGTCAGTCACGTGTCCACCTGTACGTCCCTGTTGAAAGAATAATTGTTTATTATATAGTTATGATCGCTGAATTAAAAAAATAATTCAGATTGCATTGTCACAATACTACACACTGAAAACTTACTGTAGTGACATCACGTCCATCAATGATTGCGTATTGATTTCCAACAGTTACATTGATTGCAATAGTTCGCGTCTTGATATTGTCTGGTGTACTATCTTCTCTTGGTTCAAATTTGGTTGTGACTTCAAAACGAGGGTGGTCGTTGCAGTCCTTGAAAAGATAGTACCAGCCTATTCCTTGGAAATTATAAGTACGTTCATCGAATGTCCTCATATGAGGCTCACCATCGCCACCATGCTCTAATAAAGACATTTATGCACATTTTATATTTAACTTTGCTGTTTATGTACATTAAACAAAGCACAAGGTGCTATTTTCATTCATCGGTCAAGTTTATAGTTATGTAAGTGTGGGTGTTTACAGCACGTTGATACAACATACAAAACAATCTAATTGGGATTATTGAACCAAAGCGTTCTACAGAAAATGTTTTATTTGCCATTGGTTAGCACCAACACACTCAAGTGATAGAGCAATTGATATTATGTGGAGATTGATTTATAAATCATACTCACGCTCGCAAAATGCATTGGCTCGTGATATGTTACAATCAACATCATTCCATTTACCATCTAATTTCCTGTAAAATATTAGATCATTAACTAAAATATAAGCCACAACAAATCACCATACAATCGTTCGTCTTTTGGCAATTTTTGTATCAACATGATTAAATGATTATTCATGAAATAATGTGCAATGCAAGAACAATCTATAAAACAATATTCCATATATTAAAAAAAAATATATAAATATTTTTCAGCTTTCTTCATACTTACGACCACTAGTGCTTTAAGTGATAATACCTTCACTTACCAGACCTCAACACAGTGCTCAATCCCGTTTTCATTATTTGGCTCGCCTACATCCCAGTTCTCGTAGGTAATTGGCATGTCATCCCAGCAGTAAGTGAAAGTCCCTTCATGTTTCAGATCGCTTATACCAAGCCAATAAAAACCTAATAAAATTAAAATTAATTGAGGCAAAATAAAACAATTTTTTTGATACAAATAAATTTACAAAGTTGTAATTGTTTCCATTCTTTCATGAACTAAAACGTTAAAAGTATAGAGCTTGCAAATTTACCTGCCACATATAATTTCATTATCTCGTTCATTTGGAACTGAGTTCTGGGTTGTGCGAGTTCCCAATTATTTGCTTCACATGCAGCTTTTGCTTCATACCAGTCCATTTGTCCCTCTATAACGTGGTACTGCTCTATGATCGGTATAACTACATTATGAAAAATTTGATAATTCATATACATATAACCAATACAACTGTCTTTATTTAATATTGATAATATTCTTATTCATTTTAAATTGTCAATGTAGTATATACAGACAACAATATAATTCAGAGTGATAGATGTTGTATTTTTTCTATATATATATATATATATATATATATATATATATATATATATATATATATATATATATATATATATATAATCTCACATTCTACGTTCTCTTAAACCGTTAAGTTAGTAATTTTTAAAAGTTCAAATTGAAGCGATTGAAATGGTGTTAAATTTGCCAGAACACAACAGCTTAAATAGAGGCATTGCAATCTTTGTATTCTCAAACACCGTACACACACATCTTTTCATAACCTGATGGAATAGATAATATTATTGATATACATACTGGGGCTGCGCTTCTCAACCAATTTCTGGAAAGGAAAAAAGAAAGAAAATGCACTAAAATCGTTGTAATGCAATCCTCGGGATGGACATCCGGGTATTTTTCCACCTACCAACTATCTTGGTGAACACAACAGCCGATAATTCCCAAAAAAATGTACTTTGGAATAGTTGTTGAGACTCCCCTGAACAGTTCAACACAATTACCCCTACATGTGTAACATATATAAATTTGGTTGTTCAGGATTACTTCAAAGTTCAGATTCTGCTGATCCTTGACTTTAGCTGTTTTTTCATC